AGTGAAGCAATGTCCTCCACAACTAGACTGAAGAACAAAACGACAGCAACTTGTCTGTTCCCCTTCCCCAATTCCCCAGCACTGTTCCCATCCCCACAATTCCCCAATAAAAATCTTTAAAAAAAAAAAAAAAAGAAGAAGTACAAACTGGCTGTTACACAATAGTCATGGGGATGTAGGGTACAGCATAAGGAATATAGTCAATAATATTGCAATAACTATATATGGTGTCAGATAGGTAGTATTTAACAGGATGATAGATGGGAGGGGTGTTATGGGGGCAAGATGAAAAAGGTGAAGAGATTAAGAAGTACAAATTGGTAGTTACAACATAGTCATGGGGATGTAAAGCATAGAGAATATAGCCAATAATATGGTAACAGCTATGCATAGTGCCAACTGGGTACTAGACTAGTCAGGGGGTTCACTTCTTAAATTATACAAATGTCAAACCACTATGCTGTACACCTGACATTAATATAAAATAATACTGAATATCAAAATAAATAAAGTATAAAAAATCAATCACTAAAACATAAGTGAAATTCATTTTAGAAATATAAATTTAAGACGTAATTAATTTCTTCATCATCTTATACCTGAGCTCAAGTTTGTTAGGTGTAGAATACTTAGAACTGATCTATTTAATTCCAGAAGATGAACGAGGAAAATTTATTAGAAAATTTGCCTATATTATACACATGCAATATAAAATTTGGAACATACTTGTACCTGAAAAAATTGTTTTTGGACTTGCATGATTAACTGTTTCCAAACTTTTCTGTTAAAATTTGTTTGATGGCCAGCCGAGGGGCGCGTTGGTTAAGAGTTGGCTTGGGATGCCAGCTCTGAGCAGCAGGACCCTGGTTCAGATCCCACAGTAGGGCCAGTGACGCTGCGCCCTCTACAGCTAAGATGGTGAACAACAGCCTGACCTGGAGCTGGGCTGCCATGAGTCGCTAGCAATGGCATAGGCTGCTGTGGAGCTGCAGTGGACTCCCGTAAGCTACTGTAAGTGGCCGGCAGCCAGCATGAGCTGCCAAGAGCCACCGTGAGTGGCCGTCCAGTGGCTGGCAACCGATCTGCCTCACCCGGTTAAGACCGCAATGATAATACCAACATGGGTCAGTGAAGCCACAACTAGACTGAAGAACAAAAAAGGACAGCAACTTGTCTGTTCCCCTTCCCCGATTCCCTAACACTGTTCCCCTCCCCCAATTCCCCAATAAAATCTTTAAAAAAAAAAATGTGTTTGCGGTTGCTCAACTCCCAGCTATGCCATTTACTAGCTGTGACAATTTGTTGAGTTACTTAATCTCACTGAGACTGACCTTTCATTTCTGTAAAATGGGATAACCCTTGCCAGGTTGTTATAAGAATGTATGCAAATATATGCAAAATGCCTTGTACTATGTCTGACATTTGCAAGTGCTCAAAAGATGGTAATTATTATTATTTGCTAACTTAGACATCACTCCATTCTCCGCACAGATGTTACCAGAAAGTTTTCTCTGACTTTCTGGGACTAGGAGGGTAGTCCTGTAAATTCCCGTAGCTCCTATACTTACCCTTATCACAACCTGATGTTATTGGAATTCATTTATTTATTGATCCCCTCCCCCAGAGTATTTGTAATTTGAGTGAAGGGGACAGGTTGCATTCACCATTGTAGCTCCTGGCACATAAAAGTTCTATAAACAGCTGTGGAATATTTAAACAATGTTTGCATTGTTCTGGAAGATATTAATCATTCTGGAAGACAAAGCTGAAATTGAGAAAAATTTATCCAGTATTTTAATTTTTCATCTTAACCAGGAATGGACCCCCATTAATTATTTTAGTTATGGAATACCTCTAAGAGCACAAGTCTGAGAAGAGCTCTCAACATATTCTGGGAAGTCCTAAAGTCGACAAAATACTAGGTACATCTCAAACCAAGAACTAGGAATGAAATTGGGGGAAACAGGAAGGTAGTTCTCCATTAATAAAAGAGAAATCATTCACTGCACTGTAAATTCAAAATGGCGAAACCATCCTTATAAATAAATATTTATAATTTCATATCAGGAAGAAGCAGCAAAAGGTGAAATGTGAAATTCATAAATGCTTATTCTAATTTACTCTACTACCCAAAAAGTACAAAAAAGAATAGTTTAACAAAACAGCAGAGCTGAAGGTTTGCATTGTACTGTGTACTTTGTACTTTATAGTACATAAAGTACATATGTAATTTACAGTACATATTTTACAGTACATTTACAGTATAAAATACTATCTAACAACTTTGACCTATATGGGAATGGCCTTTTGAATCATGGAATCCTGTATTTAGGAGTAGAAAACACCACAAGAATCATCTAGTCCAGAAGTTTCTAAACTGAGAAATGTAGTTCAGTATTAACTAAATGTAGTTAATAGTTATTTCTTAAAAACCGAACCACCACAAAACCCTGAAGTCACATATGTTTGGAAAATGGTGTGTTAAATAAAATTAAGCAGATTTCTTTGTCACAGCACTTCTCTCAACTCCTGGAATGATCTTGGTCAACCTTACACATTACAGATCAAGACACTGAAGTTCAAGTTTGTCATACATGACCCTTAGAGTCCATTTCAATACTAATGGTCTATGTCACTTGGCTTCTTAGCTTATGTTAGCTTAGCGTCTTACCTTTTATATTACCTTTGCTTCTTAGGAAATTGAAGAAATAAAGCAATAAAAATCTGAAAAAAATTAACTACCACAACAACCAGGGCTTGATATTACTCACTATAATTGTTATCACAAACACATTTTTCTGTATGTCCTAATTTAATCCTTACTCCAACTCTATTATACTTTGCTACTTATCCTAAAAACTATGCCTCAGTAAACCAACTCCCAAACAACCAGTGTTAAATTAATCTTAACTAGCTCACAGGAAGTCACAGCAGTTTCAACAATTGGTCCTGCGTTCCTTTTTTTTTTTCTTTAAATTTGTCAGATACCACACCTGAACTTGCTTCCACATCTTGCTTTATTTCTAGAAGGTGACTTCTTAATTGTTTCAGCATTTAATTTCTAGCAATTTCTAACAGTTCTAAAACTTTACTCCACAGCCACCCTGGCAAAATTATAACCTATTTGTGCTTCTGAGGGTTTTATATTAACTCATTGTGCTACTTGACTTTGCTTAAATCTCTTGCCAAAACTTCGCTGCATGAGTTCTCTAGCAATAATTCAGATATTTTATATTTGTGCTGCCCCAGTTTTCTCAATTCCATTAAAGAAACTTAGGCTCTAGTTTTATCACAGCATGAAATCACATCAGCTAATCTATAAAACACGATGACACATTCTTCCAGAAACATCTTGTTGAAGTCTCAATACACTCGTAGAGAAATTAATGCAAAATAACTTTTTTAATAGGACAGCATTTCCACCAACTGTTTATTTTTACATAAGAGAAACTGTGCTGATGCTATTCTTACCTGGTGGCCACCATATCTATGGGCCAGTGGAATGGATCCAAATACTATCTTTTCACCACTTACAAGCTGGATAAAAGCATCTGTTTCTGAGACAGATAAATCAAGATCCAAAATATCTTCTAAAACTTCCTAAGGGAGAAAAAAAAATAAAAAATCTTACAAACTTAAGTAATCCTTTAATCATTTTTGAGAAGAGACTCAATGGAAGAAAGAAAATTAAAAGAATAAACCTCTTTCAAAAATACATTAATATTTTTCATAAGAGATGTACCATATTGTCTGAGTATTTACATTATTTAGGAAAATTAGTTCTATTAGTTTAAAACTTTTATGTATTTCTTGTAATGCATGTTAAATATTTTTCCTAGTACATATTCTTTAAAAAAAAAACTAGAAAACATAAATGCCCTATTTTTATCCCAAATTCATTTTTATCATGAGAGAATAATTTAGAATTTGTTCTTAGAGCCCATTTCTAAGAACTTAACTCATTTAACCCGTTTTTCCCCACAAAAGTGTATTTTCTTTGCCATATAACTTTAAGATGAACCTGACAACTAGGCTAGAGGAATAAGAATCAAAAAGTGATACCTAAGAATGACATTCTCCAAGTGTCTGAATTTTAAACACAAAGATAGTCATTTATCAATAAATTAACAATTTAACTCTGAAAAAATATTAATATCTTTTTAGACAAACATTATAGTGAGTTAAGTATTTATGTAGTACACTATAAGTATAGTGAGTTAAGTATTAAGTTGTGAAAAAAATTAAGCCTAACCTTTGAAACTGCTGCAAGACGTACTCTTGATTTGAAAGGCGTAGGGAAGGCAATTGAAAAAATACAGTTTCTCACTTTACGAACATAATTTTCTTTAACAGGATCAACTGGCAACACAGCTGATAAAAAAACAAAGAAAACCATCCTTCTTAAAGTTCTCATTTCTTGCACTTACAGCATTAACATTCGTAGAAAGGCTATGCAAGAAAATCAACTTAAAACACTATTTTCTTCATACTTTGTTATTTAAAGTTATGTTATCATTTTCAACCATATCTATCCAATATACATAAATGCAGTATATGGAACTGTCCAAGAAGACATGAGATTAAAAAAAAAGCTTGAAACAAGACAAATACCGTCTTCAAAGATTTTTCACTCATGTCAGACCAATAGGATGTGAACATATTTATACAAATAAAACTAAATATATAAAATGGAGGTGAGCTGCATTGCAGTATTAGAATTATAATGCAGGCCAATTCAATGGAATCCTACCAAAAATATTAGGCACCTAATCACATTCTTTCCGCTCTTCAGAAAATAATTAACTAAAGGAAAAAGATACATACATACATATCTCTAATACCAGGCAATAGATGTCTTACTAAATGTTCAAAACTGCTTCCAATCCCATCAGAAGTGTGAAAATATGGTATGTGCCTGTGCACAAGGATAGATGTTTAAAAATTGCCTCTAAAGAGATAAACTGTTTCATAAGGTCCATACACTAAAGCACATGTACTTTATTTAAAAAGCTGTTGAGAAAAGGTTTGAACATGTTTTAGATACATAGAATGTATATACATCTAACTACAGTTCTTAAAATCTGAATCTGTTTTCCTAATACAGAGTAATTAAAAAATTCCTAAAAGAGGGTAAGTGTATTACTAAAACTATAAGACAAAGGGACACAAAATCCTATGTTTCTGGATAGAGATTATATTGCCAAGATGTCAGTGTCAGCAAATTATTTAATAAACATAATAGAAATCCAAACAAAACCTAGTAAAATATTTTTTGAAGAAACAGACAAACTTATAAAGTATAAATCTGAAGAAATAAAGGCTAATTTATTTAAATAAGAGAGATGGGAGTTTCCTTATCATATTAAAAATTACAATACAATAGCTAAAAATTTTGTTATCCCCAAAACAGATGTGAAGATCAATGGGATTCAATAAAAAGCACAGAAACAGCCCAAAGTAATGTAAGAATGCCCTATATAATGAAAATAATCTTTTTAATCAGTGGCAAAAGGTGGCACTGAGACAATTTATTTGTTCAGCTGTTTGGAATAACTCCTGTTTATTCCATCCAAGCCTAGATAAACTAAATGTCAGCTATAACAGAAATAAGAGTAAGTTTATATCTTCTCCATGGAAGTATAAAAACAGGCAAATGTGGGCCATATTTAACTATTTATACTTTCCTTTAAGTACATGGTAAATAAAGCAGCATCATGGGAAAAATGGTCAATCAAAAAAACAGATGTTAGTATCCAACACAAAAAATCCTGACAATATCATTAGAAATTCCAATGGTATATTTTCTTCTCTTTTAGGAGAGCCCCATGTGGAAATAGACTATACAATCAGTGCATTTTCTTTTATGATACTCCAACATTTTAGCAAAGCATGGGCAGTATATAATTTTGATTAGTACTTATGATTTTGCATTGATTGATTCACATTTTGGGACAGTAGCTGCTCAGTCAATACATGTGATCATGGATCCTGGAACAAAAAAGGCTAACTGCTTCAGAGGCACCCAACCCTCATCCCTGTTATGCTTTAACAAACTAATCAGTTATACACTAAAAACCCCAGAGAAAATTCCAAATGTACAAGGTTAACACTTAATCTTAACATCTCAGAGAAATCAGTAAATCCAAAATTAAATTTTTTTAGAATTCAGTTTTGCCTAAGAATATGAAATCCACAAAAATCTTCCAGTGCAACTACGTTTAACTCTTCTCTCAAAAAACGTTCTTCCCAGGGCTGGCTGAGTGGCTCAGTTGGTTAAGAGCGCACTCAAGAGTTTGAGCTCTGAGCAACAGCGGTTCGAATCCTGGCCCGAGCTGAGCAGCAGCTGAGCTGCCAACAGGTGGCAGGATGGCTCAGCTAAAAAAGAAAGAAAAAATTCTTCCCAGTTACCTTGATAATTCATTGATCACTTATCTAGTAACATCAGGATGAGATGCTTTTATGCAGGACTGGGAAGGAGGACATGGTTAATACTTATATAGTATTATGTATATAATCTCTCCTTGGTTGTAAAACCTGGTCCTACCGTAAATAATATTTTAAAGAAAATGTCTTAAAGTGTAGCCTCCTCTCTCCATCATCGAAATAAAATGCTTTCAATGACACTTATTCCATTTTTATGAGTCAAGACTGGTTGTTTCATTTGTGTAAGTGCAGTCTTTCGAGACTGTACAAAGGGGAGTTACTCAACAGTTACTTGCACAACTCAGATAATATTTTTAATTTCCTAGATCCCATGCTTGGCCTAGTAGGGTCAAAACAATTAGTTGGTATTCTGCACATCCTATTGGTGGGTTATCGTTCATTAAGAGTTCAGCTATACTGTAATGTTGGAAGCCTTCATGAATTTCATCTGTCTTTCCTACTTAGCCTAGGCATATTTCATCTTTTTAAGAATCAGGTATTTTGTTTTCATCTGGGAAACAATTTCTAAAGGAAAATGACCTGATTGAATTGTGTTGTGTTGTATCTGTCAACTATGTGAGCTTGGACCAGACACTTAATTCCTCTATATGTTTCCTTATCCGTAAAAAAAAAAAAAAAAAAAGGCAAATGATAATATGTTATAAAATTGTTGCAAGTACGAGTGTTTATTGCTACACTCTAGCAAATTGTACCTGTTGAATATTTAATATATTAACTTTTAACAAGGTAAGTCACAGGTACTTATTAATCTTTATTTGTAAACCACCTGAGTCCTTTTTATAAAATATTCTTCAAGATTGGAAAAACACCTCATAAAATTGAATTATTTTTAAAAACTTCTTTATTCTATGCTTTCATTTAGTAAACAAAACAATACTTTGAAGGTAAACAATGTGCTCAGCTTTACAGGTACTTGCACTCTTTAATGAAAAACACATGGTTCAGAAAAACAAGAAAAAAATATCACAGTTGCAGTTGCCTCTTTGCTGGTCTATTTCCTTGTATGAGTGAATTTTCTGAAGATCAAGTTTCTTCTCTTTCTGTAGCCCTAATGCTTCCACTTTCTCTCATTGGCTCTGTGCGTCTGTGTGCATGTGTTGAATGATTAATTAATTATATCATGGATTTGTTATAAATACACTCTCGTTACTATGAGAACAGATCTGGCTATAGAATTAAGGAAAGGTCTTTCTAACCCGTATCGGGTACTAATCCTGCACGCTCTCCAGTATCCCCTGGGCTGGCTTACAAGGTTCAACATGACCAAATAGTAAACCATCTCACATTGCTCAGTACGCCCACGAGTGGAACTCACACATCCAGATGTGAGCACGACGGCCCCAACATGCCACCATATACCTATAAGGTCTTCAGAGGAGAGAGTCCAAAAGTTGAGAGACGAGGCTATGCTAGCTTCTGTTTCACAATAGCCCTGCTCCTGGTTTGACCTGTTCCTGAAAAGATGCACAAGGCTGGCACTTCCTTCAAGGCCGGGTTGCACTAAGGAGCAGAGAGCGCGGCAGGTCACACACAAGAGAAGCAGCTGCGGGATCTGCAGCCTCCGGGCGAGGCAGCAAAACGGGAACCCGCTTCTTTGAGTTGTATTTCTGCCTGAGTACACAGGACAACAGTTAGAAACGCACTGCGGCATATTTCTTGCTAACAGCTGGTCCCCGGAAGGTACATTTTGCTCTGATTGCTGGAGCGACTGGCTCCCCGCAAACCGCGGGAAAGCTTCGGGAAAGACGCGCGCGGGGTGGAAAGTCACGGTTAGTTTCTCCCCGGCCGACCGGCCGGCAGCGGGGCGCAGGGCTCCGGCCGCCTCCCTCGCACCGCCGGGCGCTCCCCGCTGACGCAGCGCAGCGCAGGCAGGAGCCCGGGGTGACGCGGCCCCCGCCGGAGCGCGCTGGCGGCGCAGCCCCGGGGAGGAGCGAGGGGAGGCGGCCCCGGTGGGGCTGAAGCTCTTCCTGTGCCAGGTTTCCGGCTCCGGGTCCCGGAGGAGGACCGCCGGGCCATAGGCGGAGCTGCCGCCCGCCGCGACTTTCAGACCCGGACCATGGCCTCATGCTGGTGGCGGTGGCGGCGCGGCTGCTCCTGGAGGCCGGCAGCGCGGAGCCCCGGGCGCGGGGCAATGAATGGGCGAGCGGCGTGTGTGCCTGGCGGGGGCCGCGGGGCCCCGGGGCCGCGCTGGGGTGGGGCCCCGCGCCCGCAGGGGGATGCGGAGAGGTGGGCGCGGGGTGCCTGTCTGCCTGAAGTCGGGGCGCCCCGCTCGGGACTGCAGAGCGGTGTCCTGGGGGCCCAGGAGCGGTTTGGGCTTGGAGAGGGAGCGGTTTTCCCCAGGGCCCCGGGGAAAACGCAGGAGGAGTGGTCAGATTGTCGCCAGGGGTACGGACCAAGTCAAAACTGGAGACCGTCTGCACCTCTTTCCTATGGAGTTACCGCCAGGGCTTTGGGAAGACAGATTTTTTTTTTTTAAAGATTTTTATTGGGCAATTGTGGGGATGGGAACAGTGCCGGGGAATTGGGGGAAGGGGAACAGACAAGTTGCTGTCGGTTTGTTCTTCGGTCTAGTTGTGGAGGACGTTGCTTCACTGGCCCAAGTTGGCAC